TGCAGCTGTCAATGGTGGAGCCAGGATTTGGACCTAGGCAGCCCAACTCCAGGGCCCTCCCTCTCAGCCACATGCTGTTCTGTCTTCCCTCTTGTTACTAAGGATGAAGTGTCCTGTCCCAACAACCCAAACCCTTCCCATGGGCACTCCACCCACACGCATCTCCACCTTAACCTGCCCAAAGGCTCCTAGTCCCCCCCAAACCTGCTTCTCCTCCATCTCTCCTTCAAAGTAAAGGGCCCTGCCATTTCTCAGGGGCTCTAACCCAAGCCTTGGGGTCAGCCTTGAGTCACTGCTTTATCTCACAGCCCCATCCAATCCATCAGTAAATCCCGTCAGTTCCAGAAACCAGAACTTCCTACCACCCCCACCGCCACCCCCTGCTGTCTGAGCCACCATGGCGTCCTGCTTGGATTATGGTAGAACCCTCCAGATTTCCCGTTTTCACCCCGCGGTCTGTCCTCCTCACAGCAGCCTGCAAACCATCCATCATATCCCGTGGCTCCCATCATACTCAGAAACAAATGCAAAGCCCTCACCACAGCCTAAAGAGCCCTGTGAGAACTGGCCGCTGACCCCGTCTGCTTCCCGCTCCTTCTCCCCCCGGCACCTGGGTCTGGCCACTTGGACCACTTTGCTCCTCCTGGGTGGTGCCCAGCTCCTTCTCGTCTCCGAGCCATTGCGCTTGCTGTTCAGTCTGCCCGGAGTGATGTCCCCCAGATCTTCTCAGCCTAGTCTCATTCTCAGTGCCTGGCACTTAGTAGCTGCTCACTCAATGTCTGCTGAACTCGCAGTATGGATAGTTGTCAGGACCAGGGCCGGGTGTGACAGGAGTGCCATGTCACCACCAGGTGGCGCTGCAACACATCCCTAGGCAGTGACCTCGGGTTTGGCCTCCAGTATTGTCCTCTCAGAAAAGCCTCCCCTGGCAGTGCCAGGCGGTGCTGTGGGCCACCAGCTGTCTCGCCTCAACCCTGCGTGTCCCCTAGTGGCTACTAGCAGATACCATCTGAGGTATCCACAGAAGCCCGAGAGGAAGGGAATGTGGCTGCCACCGTGGCCCGTACTTCTGGACT